CTAAGCTGTCTCAATGGCCCAAGTTGCTGTTCAGCTGCCGGCTGATGTCTCTGTCCTCAGCTGATTTGGTCCAACAGTCTCTCTGAACGTTATTCACCATGACTTTGTTGACATTTTCTGGGATTCAGTGGAAAGATCCGATGCCGACTTTGTGTTCTAATTAGGCTGGTCTCTCAGAGTGGCTCCCTGGCTTTGTCCTGACCTCTCTCTCTTAGCAGTTTATTAGCACACTGACAGAGCAGGCTTCTAGACAAATCCACATAATCTGCTTTGATTTGATGATTTTAAGGGTTAACGTTCATTTTTATTTATATATTATGAAGTTGCCTTTAAAAAAATAGCTTTTCTGATATTATTAGACATAAAAAATGATTGGATCTCAGCTTTGCAGCCTCTAATGCTCCTCTACATCACATTTTGATATCCTCAGAGATCTTTCTAAATCGCATTGAGCCAGCTTGTTCCTTAATCACAGTCATAACTACTTTTTCTGAGCATTGTTTTATCAGGTAAATATTACCTTTAACTTTCACATCATTTTCATCCAAATCAGTCTTCTGCTCTTGTTTACTGCTAAAAAATTTTTTTTACTTAGTCTCCAATGACTGTCCACTTAGCTGGTCCTGATGTATGGATCCTTCCCTTACACACACCGCCTTACATAGCCACAGTGTGTGAGTTAAATCTCTTCCCTGGCGCCACTTCCTTGCTCTGAGCATTCCTGGCACCCGGAGGCCCAGAGAGGTCGAGACGCAGGCTGAAAGCAGCGTCACACTCCAGAGCTGGCACCGTGTCTCAGAAGCAAATAAGAATCCCATTTTTCCTCCCTTTTTGCCGGCCCAAAGAGGCACTGCTCACCCTCTGCTCTCCGTGAGTGCAGAATACTTCCGTGGAGAATGACCCCTTTGAAGGATGGTCTAGTTTCTTTGAGAGGAGATTCTCTTCGCGCTCAGTTTCCCAGCGCTGCATCTACCTCTGGATCTCTGCCTGAGCTCCCATCCAAGAATGTGAATTGGCAGAGGATGTAATTAAGGCGATGTTTCCCCTTAAACTTGGCCTAACCTTCGAGAGCCTCAGCTCACTTAGAGCAATGTTTTCTTTATTGTGGTGACTATTGCTCCATAGTAGCAGGTTTGATACAAACTGACCAAATAAAGAGAAAAGAGGAATCTTACTGTGTTTTGTTGTAGGTCAGGATTCCCCAAAGGAATATTTTAAAACCTGATCTAAATTCATAGTACTTTGGAAAAAATATTCATATGAACAAACCTGACTGTATTTTAGAAAAAAATAAATAAAAGATCTTTCTGTATTTTCTTGCATTCACTTTTGATTTATTTGTTTAAGAGGAAAACCATAATATTTTCCCTTATTAGACATAGTGAACATCAGTCAGGAATGACTGAAGGACAATGCCTGACTTCCATTGATGGCCTGCTTATTGGTGCATAACCAGAAAAATACGAAACGTATCCATGTCAGCTATATAATTTGTATTTGTCGAACTAAAAAAACATAAGCAGAAATCAATTATAGATTTGTTGTTTATTTTATTATTATTTATTATTTTGTTTATTACGAAAAATATTGGAAAATGTAGCAACCTATTGGGCGGAGATTGTAACAGGACCGTGATCTTTTTCCGTATTCGTTAGTTAATCCCGCAATTATTAAAGGAACTAGATGCAGGATGAGGAAATGAGTCTAACCAGTGAAACTTCCCAGTGACTGCCTCTAGTTCCTTTAAGGATTTGAATACATAAACAAATATCTTTTATACTCTTTTTGCAATGTAATTACAATTAGATTAAAGTAAAGTTGATGCATAAATAAGGATAATACTGCAATTCCTGCATTTTCTGGTAAATTTTTAACTGCTCACACAAACCGTAGAATTTCTCTTTTATTGTTTAAGTCCAAAAAAAAAAAGCTCCAAGATCAATTTAATTTAAACGTGTATTTTTAATCAGGTCATGGAGGTTTCATTAATGATTGTATAATTGAATGGACTGTTTTAGCGATCATTTTGAAGTTAACTTATTATTGTACTCTTTGTTCTCTTCCTATTAATTTTTTTTATTATCATTTTTTCTCAACAAATGATGCATCTTAAACCTTTTAAACCATGACGGAAATTTAAACAGTTTGTTTGGGTCTTTAAAGCAGAGCGTTGAATTTGTCCCTAATCAAACCGACAGGGACCACAAACATGGAGGCAGAATAGCCTCTGTTTGTTCTCACTGTCTCCCCTGTTGTGGGCATGTGTCACCTTGTGTGCGCAGATGTAAGTTTTGTGTGTGTTTACAGTAAAGTGAGAATTAGAGGAGTATCCCCCCACCCTAGGTCTGTCCTTTGATTATTTTTTTCTACTTCCACTTCCTCTGCTAAGGCCCTGTATTATTACTGCGCTTGAATCGCCTGCCTGAAAGCTGAGGGATTAAGGCCGTGTCAAACATGCTTCTCTGTCTTACTTCCTTCTCAACACCCCCACCCACCCCGTGTTGGCACTATGTGTTTAAACTAGCCCTGTGCCAGAACAGGGATCTGCTAACTTTGGGAAGTGCTGCCTGTGTAAATTTCTGCCTGCAGGTTTTGCTTTCTGGAGGGCGTCCAGACGTCCCCTAACAAAGTAGCGCATTGATTATATTAAAAGCAGCAGTCAAAGCTTGTCTTTGTGAAAACATTTGATTTGATTAAGCATGATTCTGGGTTTCTGGTTTTCTTTCTTTTCAGCAGTGAGTATCTTAAGCACAGCAAATAGCAGCCAGAGGTGTCAATAGGTATAAACTGGTTCTTAACATGACAAGAATGTATACAGCAGTTGTACTTTGAGCTTTTTGTTGAGTTTTTGTGGCGCAAAGTTCAAAGCGTCCAGTTAACTTTAGGTTTTTCTCATTCTTTTTTAGAACAAACCAACCGTTAACTGGAGTCTTTCTGCTTGTTAGAATCAAGTTGGGCTTTTTCTCTGACTGCGACCATTATTATAATCTTCATCATAATTTTACCCCTCAGTGAACACTGCCACTGTCAGAAACCTTCAGCTGAAGCTACTTACTGAGATGGTTTTATTTCAAATGTAGTCTCAGGAGAGAGGTAGCAGAGCACACGCAGGCTGTGGCATGTTTTTTTTTTTTTTTAACCCTATGGAAGGAATAATTTGAGATACTGAAACAAAGTCTTTTGCATTGTATTCATTCACAGCAGGTCTACATTTACAGTCCATTATAGTAAATAAAGCTTTACATATAGGTCAGTGTAATGTGCGATCAAAGAACTGAACATAGAGGAGGGGACGTGATGTACGGAAACAGCAGAGTTGGTGATTTGAGGAAGCCAACCTAAGGCATAAATAATGAAGCAATGTGTTTCAATGCGGACAAAGAAAGCAAAGATGAGCTATGAATGCAGGCATGAAATTGCTGATTAGAAACTTGGACTTTCCTGAGAGAAAGTCTGCACTTGTTCTCTTTTGGCACTCATCTTTTATCTTTTCTGGCAAAAAAAACATGAAAAACATCCATTTGAGCCAAATTAATGAAAAAAAGGGTTGTTATTTGTCAGTGTGCCACTATTCTTCTGTCTGAATACGCCCCCCTATACAACACCAGTTTAGTAAGACTATCAACGTTTATATCTGTTTAGTATAAGAACATCTGGGGATCGAGAGGATTTTTAAAGTTGCATTTTCTTGTAAAGTTAATCATAACCCAAAACATTTTATTTGAATTTCTGTGCATAAACTTGCACAAAGGGATGCCTAATTATTAAAGGAAAGAAAAAAAAATCAAACATGGTTTAAATTTTTTCATCACTAAAATTCTAACATTGCCACACATGTGCTTTATAATATCAGTGCATAAAAAGTATTTATTTTTGTATGGGTTGTACTAGTTTGCACAATGGCAATAAACCTAATCCTGACCAGCAACTAGTAAATTCCCCCAACTTGGGTGGGATTTGATTTACCGCTTTAGGCTGCGACATCAAGCATAAGCATCAAAGGACATGTCCTTAGCCTTTGTTTGTTTTTTGTTTTTTTACCAAACTGAATAGGTGCATCAGACTGTAACTGTATGTTGTCCCTTAATACATTTAGCAACTGAAAGGGAAGGAAAGGATTTAATAATAAAAGGGTAAAAACTATTAGTTTTTGCATTTCTTCTTTATCTTTTAAAAAAGCTTCAGCTGCAAAGATCAGCCATGTTTCCCTTCTTTGGCTTTTTTTTGGTGATTAATTGATTTGTTGTCATTTCTATTCTTTGAATGCATCAGATTTTAGAGATTCTTCTCTATTTGGTCAGTGATTTATTAACTATGCTCCTCAGATAAAATGGCTCATTCTAAATTAGAGCTAATCAACTTCAAGAAAAGTCACTTATCCATGTTTCCCCTGAAAAGTCTGACTGGTTGATATCTACCTTAAAGCTACAGTGTGTAATAATTACAGGGATATACGGTCAGAAATGTAATATATTATACATAACTATGTTATTTATCATCATCTACGAGCTCAGCCTTTTAACCTTAATATTTGCGTTGCCTTAGAATTCGTTATTTATAATTACATAGGAGCGGGTCTCGCAGCCATGGAGGCAGACATCTTTGCGCTACGGCAGCGCAGAGCAAACAAACTAGCGATTGCGAGATCGCCCATTACACTCAAAAGTAACTACGGCAAGTTGAGAGAGATGAACTGAGACGGTACTGAACACACAGACTAATGAAATACTATCTGTAAAATTATCTATGTAAACAAACCTCATCACTTGAGAAGGTAGGTGATGCGGACGTCGTGGAAGACATTTTGTCCTGTAACGCTCGCCGTACTGTTGGGGGGAGAAGCGGTGGGGGGGAGATGTTCATGTTGCTGCAGTCTGCAGTCTGACCGCTAGATGTCGCTGAAAATTACACACTGTAGCTTTAAGCTAAGACGTCTGTAGCTTGATACAATGTTTACAGTCATATTAATCTTCTATGCTTTGTGTTTTTATGCTTCTCAGATGGGATCCACTCTGTTTCAGCTCAGTGCCTTCTTCAGGTCACCATCATCACCGATGAGATGTTGTCCAACAGCATCACCTTACGTTTGGCTAACACCTCTCAGGAACACTTCCTGTCGCTGCTGCTCTCCCAGTTCCTGGATGGCGTGGCCCGTGTCCTTTCTGCTGCCCCTGAAGACGTCGTCATCTTCAACATCCAAGATGACACAGATGTCAGCGCACGCATTCTCAATGTCAGCTTGTCCGTGGCTGTTCCCGTATTTGGAGATGTTCACCAGCATCCCGGAGGCCTGGAGAGAGGCAGGTCCAGCAGAGGGGTCGAAAGTGGGGAGTTTTTTGGCTCAGAGGAGCTACAGGAGAGGCTCTATCTGAACCGCAGCCTCCTGGCACAGATCTCCTCCCAGGAGGTTCTTCCCTTCGACGACAACATCTGCCTACGTGAGCCTTGTGAGAACTACATGAAGTGTGTCTCAGTGCTAAAATTCAACAGCCTGGCACCATTTGTGGCCTCTGACACCATCCTGTTCAGACCCATTCACCCCATCGCCGGTCTGCGCTGCCGCTGTCCCACCGGCTTTACAGGAGACTACTGCGAGACTGAGATAGACCTCTGCTTCTCTAAACCGTGTGGAGCGCATGGCGTGTGCCGCAGCAGGGAGGGAGGCTTCACTTGTGAGTGCTTCGAAGACTTTACAGGTAAGACCGGGATTCCTTAATCTTTAATAATTGTCCTTTATTCACATCAGATCAAGCCTAGGACGCAATTCTTAACACACAATATTAAAATGAAGCCAAGAGCAGCTGACTAGATGTCACCTAATAAGTAAAAACTTAATGTGTCTCATTTAGTCTCAGAATAAATACAGATTTAGTACACAGTCCCTATGATGAAAAAATCCTTGTGGTAACATCATGCTAACTACATGACTATTCACAAAGAAAAACAGTTAAAAATGTAGTGGAGGTTGATCTTTGCGCAGGACAACAATCCTAAACAGAACGCAGATCAACAGCAAAACAGATCAAAGAATATGCATGTACCACAAATCAAAAGTAGGTCTGTTTGAGGCAAGACACACAGAGATAAAAAATGATAATTAAAGGAGCTTGGCTTAAGCTCTGGATTCTTGATTAGCAACAAGTCTGTGCTTGATTAGCTACACAACTGCATGCTTATCGTACAAAGCATATAGTCAATGGGTTTTCCATGTATTTAAATTATGTTTTTATTATTGTTACTAAAGTAACAACTGTAGTTGTAACTGGAGTAAAACAGAATTTTTCTAAGTAATAAGATCAAAATTTAGGCAATCATCTGGCCCTGAGGTGAAAAGCAATATCACAACTACAAAAACAGTTAGTGCCTGGGAAGGAGAACAGGATTAGTGTCTGAGAATAACTCAGTGGAATTAAAGATGCACTGAATTGAAGCAACTTACCCACTCAGAAGTCAGGAGGTGGCACTGGCTCGGATAACTGGTCCAGTGGGTCTGTAGGGATGAGCCCTATCGCTGATTCACTGATCTCAATCTTGTCGGCACTAGACAGGGCAAAGTCTAGCAGGGGAGTCCTTGCCAGTCAGGGGGTCATGCACAGACACAGAGGTCCATTGGGCAGAGATATCCTGATGGGCTAGATGAGAGGGGAGTCTAGAATCTAGGTGAGAGAATCTGTGAAAGACACACTACCTGGGCAGAGGTTTTCAGAGGGGCAGAGGGAAAAAGGCTATAGGTTCTGGCTTGGTTCATACACAGTTGACAGGAAACTCAGACAAGGGTAAAGGCAAAATAGACTTAGCCATGAGGCAAAGAAAGACGTCGATGTTCAGAGGTCAGAAGCCAATGGGAGTATCCAACAGGGGCAAGGTAGGCAGCAGAAAACAGGAATGAGACAAGGCAAGATCTTGTCAAAACAAGGATGGTCTAGTCACACCAATGGCTTTCAAGAATCTGGCAACTACCTCTGGAAGAGCCAGGAGTATATAGTGCTCCTCCCAGGTGCAGCATCTCCCGTATTTGGAGCTGTCGCAGGTGTAATCGTTCAGTCCTGATTGCAAATGCAACCGAGAAGCAGGTAGTGACTTCAAGAACAGACTGGAACAATTATAAGTCCCCACAAAGAACAGGTAGTTTTTCCCTGTCCAAACTTGAATAAATTGTCTACATTCAGGTCATTTGTGGACTTACAGTTTTCATATTGCTTGAATCAGCTCTACAGCTTATTTGGTTACAGAAAGATTAATATTATTCCCTGAGATATCTCATTTTTGTGAATAATAAAGTAATTATGAATTTGATTTCAATTGAATTGACATCATTGACTGCACTCACTGTCAAATGAAAATGATGCATTTATATAAGGCTTGGTCTAAGTTATCGACCTTTGTGTTTTTTCTAAGAACGCAGAAGAGGTTTCTTTAAACTCCAGAAACAGAAATATCTGATCAAACCAGATGCAGCTGTCAAGAACCAGGATTTAGTGCAGAATAAACTCTGGGTGAACTAGGTAAAAGGGCTTGTTTCTGTTACACCTGTTTGGATACCACCTCTAAGTGTTAATTTTTTACTCTTTCACAAATATTCCCAGTTGGGCTTCATTGTTCCCCTCCCCCTTATTGAACAGGACTTTCTTTAAGGCACTGACCGTCCACTACATTAATGAGAGGCCCTGCAGACAATCTGAGTGATGAGATATTGATTTGACTCAACTCATTCCACTTGTAGAAAGCTTCAGCAAAAATAAACTGGAATTCTTTTTATCTCAAGGTTATGGGAGGTTGTCTGAACTCCGGGTGTAGTGATGGAAAAAAAGAAAGTGCACCCTTAGCCTAGCCAGCTTGAGGTAGTTAATGACCAACAGATCTGGTCTTAGAGAATTACTTTTTCTCTCTGTGTTAATCTTATTTATAAAGATTGAACAATTTAACTAATAAAGAATGAAATCTTTGTTTACACAGAGGACTTAGTGATGCAAGCTGTTTTATACCTTTTTCTGTTTTTAATGAACCTCACTTTGAAGATACTTCCTTAAAGAAATTAGATCTAGTCTCATTGACAGTAAGTATTGCTGGGCTGAATAAGGGAAGGAAATTATTCATTTTTAATTACATCTGTGGATGTAGTGGGCCCTGGCTGTTAAATGCCTTGTGGTTAAAATATTAAAGAGCAACAAAACAACATAAGTCACAGAGCATTAAGGGGACAGCAGCGTCTTCTTTCAGCATAAAAATGAGTTAATTTATCACAGACGGCAGCAAAACTGCCATCTGGTTTTAAAACTGGTTTTAAAATGTAAATGTATTCAGTATGCATCGGAAGACTCAGGGTTTCATCAATGAACAAAACATTTTTGTCTGTAATTAGTTGTTGCTAATATATTATCTGAGCATGCATTCCTCATACCACACAGAGACAGAAGTTTGTAGCTAATATCTTGGTTTAAAGTCTGCATTGAAGACTACAGAGAAATTTTACTGTTAATCAACCAACAGCTCTGAGCATTTAGATATTTTTCTGCTCTTTGAATACTTCTGGTAATCACAACACCGGTTGGTGTTGAGGTTGTTAATGAGGGGAAAAAAATAAACATTTGGGATTTTTAAAGCATTTCAGTGACTTTTGATATTGAAGTCAGAGGAAAAACAGAGATTTAAGAAGCTGTTTAAAAAATAAAATGTATTTTCAACATCACATCTGCGGTTTATTTAGGCTGCCAGACAGCGAGAGACAGCCAGACGCTGTGTACGTAACAGGAAGCAGAGTTGTTGTTTCTTAGTCTTTCAGGATGGAGGCTGCATCTTCTCTCCATCTACAGGTGCTGGTCATAAAATTAGAATATCATGAAAAAGTAGATTGATTTCAGTAATTCCATTTAAAAAGTGAAACTTGTATATTATATTCATACATTACATACAAACTCATATATTTCAGATGTTTATTTTGTTTAATTTTGATGATTACAAATGACAACAAATGAAAATCTCAAATTCATCATATCAGAAAATTAGAATATTACTGAAGACCAATAAAAACAAAGGATTTATAGAAATGTTGGCCAACTGAAAAGTATGAACATGAAAAGTATGAGCATGTACAGCACTCAGTATTTAGTTGGGCCTCCTTTGGCCTGTATTACTGCAGCAATGCGGCGTGGCATGGAGTCGATCAGTCTGTGGCACTGCTCAGGTGTTATGATAGCCCAGGTTGCTCTAATAGTGGCCTTTAGCTCTTCTGAATTGTTGGGTCTGGTGTATTGCATCTTCTTCTTCACAATACCCCATAGATTTTCTATGGGGTTAAGGTCAGGAGAGTTTGCTGGCCAATTAAGAACAGGGATACCATGGTCCTTCAACCAGGTACTGGTAGCTTTGGCACTGTGTGCAGGTGCCAAGTCCTGTTGGAAAATGAAATCTGCATCTCCAAAAAGTTGGTCAGCTGCAGGAAGCATGAAGTGCTCTAAAACTTCCTGGTATGTGGCTGCGTTGACCCTGGACCTCAGAAAACACAATGGACCAACACCAGCAGATGACATGGCACCCCAAACCATCACTGACTGTGGAAACTTTACACTGGACTTCAAGCAACGTGGATGAAGTGCCTCTCTTCTTTTCCTCCAGACTCTGGGACCTTGATTTCCAAAGGAAATGCAAAATTTACTTTCATCAGAGAACATGACTTTGGACCACTCACCAGCAGTCCAGTCCTGTTTCTCTTTAGACGCTTCTGACGCTGTCTGTGGTTCAAGAGTGGCTTGACACAAGGAATGCGACAGCAGAAACCCATGTCTTTCATACGTCTGTGTGTGGTGGTTCTTGAAGCACTCACTCCAGCTGCAGTCCACTCTTTGTGAATCTCCCCCACATTTTTGAATGGGTTTTGTTTCACAATCCTCTCCAGGGTGCGGTTATCTCTCTTGCTTGTACACTTTTTTCGACCACATCTTTTCCTTCCCTTCGCCTCTCTATTAATGTGCTTGGACACTGAGCTCTGTGAACAGCCAGCCTCTTTAGCGATGACCTTTTGTGTCTTGCCCTCCTTGTGCAAGGTGTCGATGGTCGTCTTTTGGACAACTGTCAAGTCAGCAGTCTTCCCCATGATTGTGTAGCCTATAGAACTAGACTGAAAGACCATTTAAAGGCTTTTGCAGGTGGTTTGAGTTAATTAGCTGATTAGAGTGTGGCACCAGGGGCCATCAATTTTGAACCTTTTCACAATATTCTAATTTTCTGATATGATGAATTTGAGATTTTCATTTGTTGTCATTTGTAATCATCAAAATTAAACAAAATAAACATCTGAAATATATGAGTTTGTATGTAATGTATGAATATAATATACAAGTTTCACTTTTTAAATGGAATTACTGAAATCAATCTACTTTTTCATGATATTCTAATTTTATGACCAGCACCTGTATGCTCTGGTTGTTTTAGGGACTCTGGATCCTTTTATTGTGCAAAAGAATGCATGAGAGATTCCCTGTTCTATGTAGATAGGCTATAGGTGTGAGTGTGTGCATGGTTTTTGTCTGTGCTGCCATGTGATGACCTATCCAGGGTGTGTACCTCTCTTTCCTAATGTTTGTTGGGGACGGACACCAGGTGCTCCACTGCTGGGACCCTACAAAGATTAAATAGATATAGAAAAAATAAAATGTTTGCTTCCAGCTTAATTTTTTCTTTTTCTTTTGCAATTTCT